ACCACGAAATCGTGCATGTTACATTATTTTATTCCTTAGGTTTCTCAACAACAGCCATTCATAACAATCTGGGTATATTTTTTTATGATTTGCGAACTTTGCTAAGTTTAGGAAGAACGGAAATAAAAAATATTTACATGTTTTTTATTTAAAGTCTGTGCTACACATGTAACAACGTGCATTTTCAATTAAATTGTAGTAATAAGCACGATGAATTTCTTCTACCTTAACATAGTATAAAGTAATAAAAAAGATATTTTCTGAAAATGCGGACAAACTCATATCAAATTAAATATTCTAGGTGAAAGTTTATAAATTATGAAATTTACCACAATAAAATTTTATTCCCTGTTTGTTAATTTAAAGAAATCATGCTTGTTTAGAATCGTTCAATACATATTGTCTCGACGATATCCTGTTATTTGTCTATTGCATGTCCTTATGTATGCTTTATCCGCAGGATTAAAGTTATGTAACATACATTTTACAGCAATTTATTTAGTTTAGCGATTAGCAGTTTAATAAGACAAATATACCAAACTGTAAAACGAGCTGCAGGAAATTAATCTCCTACATAAAGCTCAGTCTCAGATACACTTGGCATGTAATAAAAAGCTATATATTAGAACATGTAATGATATCGATATAATCTTTTTAAGGACACTAACTGTTTGAATTAAGAGGTTACAAACTTATTCATGCATTGGAAAGTCATGCGAAAGTATGCAAGTTGTATATTACATTGTCTGTTTTTCAAATGTTATATACTCGTATTTATGAGTTAATGGGACTCCATAAAAAAAATTTGACAGGAAAATAATGGAAATATTTTTCGAAACGTGTGTGTCATTTATTATAGGTCTATCGTGAGCCGGCTTATGATGTATGCATGTTTAAATTCTTTATTTACATGTATTTCTTGTTATTTTGTTATTCTATGAATACATATATACTTGACGTAGAAAAACTAGAAAATCTAACAATGTTATTATTTTTTTAAGCATATCTTAAAAACAGGAAAGTTAAAACAAAGGTCTACGTATTTTCCTGAACACTAATCGTACTAAAATTGTGTATGCAAAATTTTAGATCATTTTCTAACTGTGTTGTCCCAGAATAATCATTTTAAAGAGCAAATGAACGGAACGTGCAACGATTTGCTCAACATCGTTCAAAAACTCACTTCTAGTACTATCTTAATAATTTGAAAACAAATATGTTAACGTATAAGTAAATGTGGATTCAAGATTAAAAAATCTTAATCTGAATATCACTGTTGCACATGAGTGTCATGTATTGGCCATTTTGATAAATAACCAAGAAGCGACAATCCGTTTTTCCATACGTATTGCTTTCTTGTTCAATAATAGCAATTTGTACCAAATTTATGACCAAGCAGTTCATGTCACATTCACAGAGCAATTTCTTGGTCTGGACAAACCTATTTAGCACAGTGTAAATAATCTGGAATTACTTTCCCGATGAGGAAAAAATCGTGCAATATGTGCTGCCAAGCGACACGTAATTTATAGACACTGTTTGTCAGACAGAAGCCTTTTTTACATGCAATGCTAATGATCAAGTTTTGTTATCAATTATTTTGAGGCAAAGATATCTTATAATTAAAAATATAAATAGTCTTTCGCGTATTATAGAATATATTTATTAGTATAATAGTTATTTTCCGTTTCGTGCATTAGGAAAAGTGCATTCTTGATATTGTCCGTTTACATTATTTTTGTATGGAATCTAGTCTAGTACTGTCATGCTTAAAGACTTTAGTAATTTCATTGAATAGTTAGCTTTGAAACATAATTTGCAAAAACAGTTTTGCATATTTATTGTACAATTCTGTATATACTGCAGTGATTTTATATTATTATGTCCGAAACAAAAGACCACAAAGAATTAACATTTCCATTACCAAGAAAACGAAATGCCTTAAATTGTGAAATTGATCTTTTGAGGTTAACATAGTGAACATATCAAAAGTTGATATAAATTGAACAAGATACAATGTGCACGATTAATATTATTCAATGTTTAAATTTCAGTGTACACACAATTATCACCATTAAAAAATATTTTCAATTAACTCTATTTTGAAAGATTTAAAAAAGCCATTAGACAAAGGGTTTCCTTTTTTGTGTCGCCTCTACGGAGTAGTGGCGACATATAGGGATCACTTCTCCGTCGTCTGTCTGTCCGTCTGTCCGTCTGTCCGTCTGTCTGTCTGTCTGTCTGTCCGTCTGTCCGTCCGTCCGTCACAAAACTTGTCCGGACTACTCCTCATAAACTACTGGTGCAATTTCATCCAAACTTTACAGGAATGATCAGTACCAAGTCTAGTTGTGCATATTGTCAGGATTTTCCGGTTCAATGATTTTTGTCAGAGTTATGGCCCTTTAATAATTTTTAATTTTAAAGTTTGTCCGGACCACTTCTCTTATACCACTAATGCAATTTCAATGAAACTTTACAGGATTGATCTGTAGCTCAAGTCCTTGCGCATATTGCACGGGTTTTCCGGTTGAATGATTTTTGGCCGAGTTATGGCCCTTTGATAAAAAGGTTTCTTTTTCTGTGTGTTGCCAGATACACAAGAGCTTGTCCGGACTACTCCTCATAAACTACTGGTGCAATTTCATCCAAACTTTACACGAATGATCAGTACCAAGTCTAGTTGTGCATATTGTCAGCATTTTCCGGTTCAATGATTTTTGTTTGAGTTATGGCCCTTTAAAAATTTTTATTTTTAAAGTTTGTCCAGACTACTTCTCTTATACCACTTATGCAATTTCAATGAAACTTTACAGGATTGATCTGTAGCTCAAGTCCTTGCGCATATTGCACGAGTTTTCCGGTTGAATGATTTTTGGCTGAGTTATGGCCCTTTGATAAAAAGGTGTTTTTTTCTGTGTGTTGCCAGATACGCAAAAGCTTGTCCGGACTACTCCTCATAAACTACTGGTGCAATTTTATCCAAACTTTACAGGAATGATCAGTACAAAGTTGTTAGTCTAGTTGTGCACTGTCCGTCTGTCTGTCCGTCTGTCACAAAATTTGTCCCAACATGAAATTGGCCATCATGAGGCGACACATGTGATTACTGATCGCTCTTGTTGTATAATTGATATATTTACATTATTGACAAACGGTATAAAATGGTAATTGTTTAATTCTTATAAGTAAAGAGTTGATATGACAATGTTTAACTCAAATAGTCTAAGTAAAAACAATATTCTATTTTAATTTAATGTATTATTCAGCTTATATGTTAGAGGGATATTTCACAAAGAATATTACAGTTGCACAGCCTCAGGAATCACAATGTCGAATTTCATATTGCTTCTCATAACAAAGCTTTATACAGATATCAATAAATTGATGATTTTCTTTAGTTTATACCCGTTTTAAATATTTGTTAAACAATTGGTCAGTATTTAAACAGATAAAGTCTTATCACATATTACCTTAAAAGTTAGTGCTTACGACCTGTTGATTCCCAAAATCTACATACACTGATAACCCAAGAAATATCATTTTATTGATCATTATTAATCAATAACCTAGGAGTGTTTTTATTTACATGACCTATTGCAAACGTCCCTCCGATCATTTTTTTTCTTCGAAGACAGTCTTATATTTCTTATGTGTCAACATTCTATGATCAATATTAAATGGCAGAATGTAAACTGGAAATGATTAAAGTTGTTTCATAGTTTCGAAATATTTCTCACTCATACAAACTTAGCATTTTTAAGGAATGTGTTGTTTTTCATTTGTAAATAACGCTATATCTTTTCTTTTGTACTTTCAAAACAACACTTTTTGATTAATATTTGACTACAACTTATATTGATAGGTGACACACTTGATTGAAAATATATCCATTGAAAATTTATAATTAATATTTCTGAGGATGCAGTGATATATACTTTGCATCTTTAAAAAATGGCAATAAATTAATGAATGAAATATATATTTATAGTTATTTTCAATGTTAATCTTAAAGAAATATGTTTTGTAGATGGGCATCCTGATATATAAAGGAAAAAAGTATCACACTAATATTTAAACCAGGTATAATTAATGGTTTGTAAAACTTCGTTATTATTTTAATTGTCACCATATTTGACTGACTCTTCGGTCACTTCTTCAATGATATAAGTCCCACGTTTTTATATCATAAACATGACAGTAAATTCATGTATTATATTAAAAATGCTTTCGCTTAATAATCTCTAGATATAATTTTTTAATAAAAAGAGTTATTAAAAATTAATATTATATCTTCGAGATAAAACCACTCCAACCTCCCCCGATTATCAATGTTTCGTCACTATTGACTTTATTGTGAATTTTGACGAAAGACAAATATATAACAATACATCAATACGCTGTTAGCTTCAAGTTGTCACGTTTTCTTTAGAGATAAACATCACGTGTATTAACGGGAAAAAAGACAAAACACAAAATAAAAATTGGATACTTAGAACGTAAATTGTTCATTTTTTAATTAAAATACGACAAAAGAAGTCTGAAATGGTGTTTTACACTATACATAGGTGCTGGGGGAGGGGTCTAAGAAATGTTGATTTTTTAAATAAAAAAATCTTGGCAAATTTAAGCTATTTTTATCGTGTTCATCATTCTCAAGGAAGCGACTTTAAAATTTCACTTCCAAGACTATTAATTTCAATTTTAGTCCAAAATACAAACAAACGAACGTATCAACGTTAATTAGTCAGCCAACCTTAGAATACACACATGTTTCTCTCGCAAGCAACTCTGTGCAATCAGACATCAATAATTAATTCAACCAAAAAACAAAAGAAATGTTCTGTAATCAGCTCTTTAGACATTTAATATTTAAGTTGATACACTTGATACACCAAATCCAAAAAACATATCGTGAAGAACATGCGGTACGCATTTAGGTACTCTAATCTAAAACATATGTTATACAAACGTTAAACAAATGTATGATAATAATTTAGCTATCATCGACTATGTATATGTGCACAGTTACTGCTGTTTTATTTTGTCTTATACCATTCCTCATATAATAACCGGATTGGAAAGATGAATAGCTTATTGTTTTGTTTTCTCCTTATTGGATTTAATTCTGTTATGTCCGAAGAACCGTTGAACCCTCAATTAGAGGGTCGATGGCTCGAAAAAATATCTAAATTAGAAGTGAAAGTTGACATTATTCAGAATGAGATTGAAATGCGGGATAGACTGATAAAAGATATACTTGTCGACCAAATTGCTGGAATGAAAGCAGCTCTTAGACAAGGTAATCTTCTACTTAAAAAAAATGCATTGGACATTTGATTTAAAAGTTTTATCAGCTAAAATGTAGTAATAAACATACAGCCAAAGCTTCGATAAAATTGTGTTAGCTACACTACAGTTTTGTGTTTACATCAAAAACTTAAGTATTTCAAGAAACTGACACAAATAATGGAACGTATCAAAAGAACAATATAATTATATCTTCTTTCAAAACGCATCTCATACAAAATATTCTTTAACGTGTGTTCTATTTATATTTTAGTGATTCCAATAACTTGTGCTGGATTATCATTCATACAACATTTGATCTCTTTAATAAAATTGGTTCAGGGATCAGAATAAACTCTAGTAAATTTATTTTTCACCATGTTCTTTTCAGAGGCAGATACAAATTCCACTGTTGCCTTTAGTTCAGAAGCTCCAAACCGTACTAAATACAGCACAGGGGATAGATTTGTTTTTAAAAACGCTCTTTTAAATGAAGGGAATGGCTATGACCCATCCACAGGCGAGTTTACTGCGCCAAAAAGCGGCCTTTACCAGTTTTCGGTACACGTATGCAATTCTGGTGGTATGGATGTTGCTTATGCTATAGTCCATGACGATGCCATCATCGCATCAAGTGTTCAAGTCCAACTTTCTGGAAGCAGCTGTTCCTCAGTAAACGCCCTTCGAATGGTGGTTAAAGGACAGAAGGTGTACGTGAAGTGTACTTATTCAACATTGATGCAAGAAGATGAGTGGCGAAGTGAAACGTTCATGGGAATTTTGCTTCATTTGTTTAACTAGATAGAACAATCATTAATTATAGACAATGACTTTCAATGCATAATATTGTGTTATAGGCTTTTGTGTCGCATCAAAAAAATGTTAGGCCATTATGTGCTCGATAAGTTAACATAATAATGATAATTATGGAACTCGCTCTTTTTAAAATTTTGATTTCAAATTGGAAAAAAAATGTATAAATTTCATTATTTAAAAATTTGTATAGACGTGAAGAAACTTATAAATATTGTGATGTATGTAGAAGTCCTTAAAACAAGCACAAAGAACATGCAAATAGTTTTTTTGTTTGAAATAGCGTGTGTGCCTATGTTAATAATGTTTGAACCTTAATGTAAACGATATATTCACTAAGAACAATTACCATTAATTTTATTTCTATATTGCATTCTTTTTGTTTTTGCTTGCTTGTAGTAGTTTGCATTTAGATACACGCATAGTTAAACAAATAAAATTTGATTTTAAATTCTCAAATAAAAAGTACATATATTATTCGTTACATCCACTTAAATATGAATCAGTTGGGCAAGGGCGAACACAATTACACCTTGTTTGATAGGGGCATTGTTGTCTGTGTGACAGACATGGGGTCGATTGCTTCTAAATGTAGTCAATTGAGTTACGATTACATTATACCATTTTCTAAACTTTAATGGATTCAATTACAATCAATTTGCTTTAATTTGTTATTCCCTTAGCATATGGTGGTATATGAAGAAACTTTAAAGCCATACCACTTGATTTAAGTGTAAATAAAATTGAAATAACTACGTTATGTGCTTTATAACAGTAAATCATGAACTGGTTTTACGCTTCGACTGAGTGGTTATACCATTTATCTTCAATAAGGGGGCAGTAAGCTAGTTATAATTGTCAGTTATTGATTTCACAAATACGAATACTTGTTCATATCTTAGTCAGTAGGCTTGTGTATAGTTAAACAGTAAATTAAATAACTCGGTTTTAAATGAAACTTAACAAAAGCAAAACTTTACAATTAAATAAATTTCACCTTAAACTAGTTTAACATATTTCACTTGTGCCTATTGCAGTATTCTTAATATGAAATATTATATTAGCGCACGTACATAATACAACAGTTCCATAATTGAACTTTGTTTCAATGACAAAATAATCAATTTGTAATTGAAATGAAATCGATTGTTACACCACTGATGATAAACATAATATTTACAATTACGATTAAATGTAATTGAGTTTTAAAAAGTAATCAAATACATTCGATTACACGGACAAATTGTAATTAATTGCAATCGATTACGATTACACGATTACGATTACCCCATGTCTGATGTGTGTGTCGTTAATAAAAAGCAATATCTAATGAAATATTTCATTAAAATTATGTTTTGATTGTTTGCAGAAACCAATTAATTCCTTGATAAATTTACAGTAAGGGACAAACACGTGAAAGCTTATAAAATTGAAAGTGTAATTTGAATAATTATGAAGTAACGTTGGTTAAAAGTTTTAATGCTTAGATCTGGGGACAATCTTGTTCAGCAGGCCGAAATTTGAAATTTGAAAATTTGAAATTTTTTAAAGAGGACAATCCAATGACCATTTTTATAGCTTCATAAAAATCGACCCAAAAGTTAAGGAGGGTTATTCTTGTATGGTTTCATCACTATTGGTGTAGGGTTTTATGAAGAGATGTCGTTTAAGTACAAATGTTAACGACGGACGACAGACACTGGTCAGTAGAGTTTAGAAATGAGAGTCCACTGTTCCGTGGGTCATGAAAGTTCCTTTTAGGGGTGGGGGAGGTGGGAGCAAAATATCAAATTGGAAACAATGACGGCAACGTGAAAAGGTATTTTTACCCTTTTCTATGTTAAATATTTCGGTGGCCATAATGTAAATTACTAAATGTTCTTGAAGGTATAACATCTAAAATTTATCGTTGGCTTCCTTAACTTTATTATAATACATTATGCAGCTGATTTATATATTCTGAATTCAAATAGAAACGTCACAGTTTCGTCTTTTAAATCAATGTGTGATGATAATTTATCTCATGGTATATGATAAAATGTTTTCCCATCATAACTGTCTTTTTACTCTTATTTCATTGATTAGCTTATTTATCACAGCGATGAAGAAAATGAAATACAATACATTGGAAATACCTTTTTTGTTATCTATTTTCGATAAAGCGGACTACTTAAGTGTTTTTATCTAATTGACCCAGTTGTCAAAGTCACCTCGACCAATTTATGCTTACTTGAAAATGATTAATTATTGTTTGTGTTCAAAACGCAATCATAAATATTGAGATCATCTTATTTTTCTAATCATCAATTATATAAAATTGAGGAAAGAGACAAATAACTTTGAATTGTAACACAAACCTGAAATTTCTTTTTCACCAGCCAAAGACCGGTCTGTTTTCAGTTTGACTTCCTGTAAAATTTACAAGGAAGAACTGGATATAAGAAGAGTTTTCATTAGTCTTTTTTAAATTATAAAATAAATTTTGCAAATCTCACGGGCAATACTAAAATAAAAAAGATACTTTTTGTCACTCTAAGATAGTTCTAAACTAAAATGTAAAGGGTACTTCTTGTCATTATAAAAATGTAGTTGATAGTTAAAAAATAGAATATACAAGATAGTTCTTCTTAAGTTTTCAATTTTATTTTAGTACGAACTTACTGAGTGTATTTTACACAAGATCCGAGTTTTAAATTGTGTTCAAATAACGGGAATAATATTAGAGCATATTAGGTACCATTAGTTAATGATGGTCAATAAGTGTTTAATAAATTATAAGATTATTGATCTGTTAAATTGATATAGTCTTTATCATTTTTATATTTTGCATATTTATCAAGTGTTTATAAAAAATAGCCTTATCGACTCTTAAAATGTTAGTGTTAGAAACTGAGTTCACTTACCGAAACACAACAGTTTTGTTCAGAAACACAAACATTTTAAAGCGTTCAATTTTTCATGATTAATAATCTTGCATGAAATTATTATGTTATTGTTATGCAAGCTATATGACTTTGCATGGAAAGATAAGAGCTAACATATGCACATTTATTTTTAGTTTACATCTTTAGTACGTACAATTCACAATGATGAGTCTTAATGTGTCTTTTTAAAACGTGTTTGAATATATTAAATTGTAGTTCCATAATGACGCGTGTCGGGCTTTGGATTTATAGCAACATCAAAATTCAACAAATCGCATTTGGTTATTTACTCGCGGAAAATGTTAACACCATAGCCATGGATGGATTGTCTGTCTTTTAGAATGTACTGCACAAATATACAAGTTTTAATACGTTTTATGATTCACTTAAGATATAGGCAATTTATTGCACTGTGTAGTAATGTTTCTTTTCTTTCTGTTCATGACCAAATCACGTATGCGTCATCCTGATGTCATACAAATGTGTGTACACCAAAATACTGCAGACGACTTTCAGAAATAGTACCAACAGTTTTGACCCCTACTTTTATTAATTATAAAGGCACATCCAAGTTACCAAAGTACCGAGTTTGTGACATAATTTTTGTCAAAAACATTCTCATAAATTCGACAACAGACAAGGAATACGAAAGATACTAAGTGTTATAATTTAAACACTTTTATATCTTATAAGTAAAGAAGTTATATTAGATAAAGATGTAAGGCTCAAAGACAGGAGTCGCCTTGTCAACGCAAATTTTTATATAAATTTGTTTGTAAAAGTTACATATTAGACTGAAATCACAGTGTGAAATGTTCATTCACAGAAATATATACTTATATAAACTTATATTAAAACAACTTAATTAAAATCAAATTCTCTAGAAACAATCAAATGGCATGAAACCTCTTTTTGAACACGTTCTCTGGAGGATTCTTCCTAGAAAAGAGATCTTCATAACACAAGCACAGTAATTACTGTAAAAAGGCGTCTGGGGTTGGGACAATTATTTACCGCAAGAACTTTTCATCGACTGGCTAAGGATAATAGACAATTATACTAAAACACGCAGCAGCGTCTGAATATAATTTAGGACAAGAGAACTTAACAAATAAGAATCTGCATCTCGTTCTACTATACAACAAATTTAAGTACATTGCCATGTCAAAACGTTGGTAACAAGCACTTAGACAAGTCCGACATTTTGTTAGAGATCCATGATTAAAAAGAAAATTTTAATATATTTTTGTCTTAACAATTTATACTTCTGAATAAACTACCATACACAAATCATGTCCATTTATAATTTTAAAGGCGGAATACAATTAAAAACTACATTCAAAAGATATTTGAAATTTTTAAAAGGACTTTACGGAGATTTGTTTTATAAATTGGGACTGAAATTTTTTTATCTAAGATTTGTATACCAATTGATGGAGATCTGGACCTCTAACTTGTGTGCAAATTTTAAGCTTTATTTATCAACCTATCTTAATAAAATAATATTTTTCATTGTGCAATATGACCAAATAAAACGAAATTCGTTGCAACGCAATGGACAATTTCGTCAAGAAATCGCACAAAAATCAAATTCCAATGTAATTATAAGTATATTTCTGTGTTATCATTATTTTAAGAGCTTCATAACAATTCATTTATCATTTTCTATATATTCTTTGTTTAAAGTCCCATATTCTAAGTGACACTAATGCTTGATATAGAAAGGTCAATCAGCTAAAACTTTGAAATATTAAATATCTAACGCAAAGTTTATATGAATCCGTGCTATTTTTATATGTACAATATTAAAAGCTTTATTTTCTTTTTCTCTTTTTTTTAACGTTTCTAGATTTCTGTTTTATATTAATGGCTTTTGCTTAAACCGTTTTATTTAATCTTTGATTTGTTAGCCATGATGAATACAATTTCGCATAAATATCATTCGAACGGAAGAGGGATTCGAAGTAAGACTCGACCTGCTTGGCAGCCATAATTTAACATCCTATTGATATATAAATCAGAACTAAATGCGATAAGTAAGCCGTCTCTGTTCTTTCCATAGATTTAATCATTTTTAAGTTCCGGTTTTTAATACCAAACTTGCAAATTTCATTTGATTTTTATATGTCTTAATGTCAGCAAGGAATTTAGCAATTACACAGAATGTACATATTAAATATTCCCTAAATTAAGCGCAGATGTTGAAAATTATCAATAAAATATATCGATAGTAAAACTGTTATAAATGTCTGACAAGAACTGACTTATGGACAGAGAAAATTGACATTTTAATCCAACTTTAAATGCAATGCTTGCTATTTTAAGATAGATGCTGTTTTATTTTATCACTATTAAATGATAGCTAAAAACAAAAACAAAATAAATGTTTATTAACTTACTTATAGCTTTAGTCATACAGTTTTTTCAAAACAATCGAAAAACAGCTGGTAAATTAACGTTAACAGTAAAGAATTTTCAACAGAAGATTTGCAAATTTTTTACATCAAATCACAACGCATTTAGAAGGTAAAACGAACATGCATGTAATATGTGTTTCGTGAATATTCACGCTATATAACATTTAAAGAAAGACGCCAAGAATAAGCAAATATGCTGAATATATGAACTGCTAGTATAACAGGCAAGGTAAATAACCAATAAAATGCCGATCATTAAATACCTTTCTGTACAATGTGACCTCATGTGGTCAGAATATGTTGCATGCAATAAAACGAACAATACAATATTATTTAAAATTACTTTTGTAAAAAAATGAAATACAAAACGACTATATTTTCAAATACGATTGTTTTGCAAAGTTTAAATTAAATTACAACGTTAAAGTCAATTTTTGTTCAGTTTTCCAGTGTTGTATATACACATATGACAATAACTGAAGCATCATTTGTTAATTGTCCTTAAATAAATTAAATTGCACTACAATAGTGTATTATAACCATGTCTTTAAATATAAAAACACATTTTGATGCGTATATTTGGTGTTCGAATACCGACAAAAATGAGAATGTCTTTAGGCAAACTAAGTATAATCACTATTATTTCTATTTATCAAGCTAATGAGCTTAATGTTTGAATATACACGTACTTGTAAAATGTTTCATAAATGTCTCTATCTTTGTTATGAAGACAATAATTTCAAAAGATTGTCCGTATCATGTCTACAATAGCGGACAAACACATTGAACAACTAGAATCATTCCGAGATAATATCTAAATATAGAAGGCAACGTTTGCATAAACATATTTTTTAATTAATTATGTATGGTCTAAGTCGTGTCCAGTTTTATGTCTAATTAATAACACGAATTATACTTTATTTTCAGGAAAAATAATAAGTATTTATTTTTTCTGGAATTATTGTTTAATCGGTTTAGTAATTTAGCAATTTCATAATTAATGAAAACAATATGACTGTACAACAGCAGAGGATCAACTCTTTAATCATACGGTAAGCTGGGATTGATGACATATGTCATATGTTGCCGTTCAGATCCAAATATGCGCTCCGAGAGGAACCAGTCCATAATCGTTAACATGGTAATCATCGTTACCGCCCAATGGTCGGGTCCCCAAAAGACGATTATTCCGATTCGAACAGCAAAATATGTTCTCTTTTATATTTTTCCATATTCCATCATATTTTTAATTCCTTACCTTAATAAAACATTTGTTTATGGAAAGTTTTTTCATTACACCAGTAACTATTTTCTTTCAGAAGCGAATGAACTCACAACTACATTCGTAACGGCTTAATAACGTCATCCTAAGCATGCCATTGTGTAGGCCGCCCCTCAT